TATTAAGTTTAAATATTACATTTAGTTGGATTTAGATTTGTAAAACATGTATTAATGAGTTATATTATAAAATTAATAAGAATATGTAGAGATTTCTACCATGGCATATTATTTGAATTGAAATGTTTTCATTTGTTAATTTAAATGACATGTTCTTTAAAACCCTCATTGATTGACATCTAGGATTTTTCATGTTAGTGTCTCTTCGATTAATATATAGAGGATTAATTGTTTTTACCTATATGTAAATTGATGATTATTTGATTTCAATAGAATCCAAAAGGCTTGGAAAGAATAAACAAACGAATGACCTCGTATTTTAATAATGACTATGTAATGTGCAAAAAAAAAAGCTCAAAATGGTTTGAGAAACACTGTTTTACTATGTGGAGTTCAATTTTTTGCTTAAAGAATGATAATTTATTATTGTGGAATTGCTAAAATTATATCAAAGATTCGTTCTTCTCTCTGATCTTAAGAGATTATAGGCAAACCCCAAAAAAATCCTTTAAAGAAAACATAAAACAACAAAAATAGAAGAAAATACAGATATATTATAACTAGCATGTGAAAGAACGTGGGAAGGTTATATGAGCATATGATTTGAGACATGGATATGGAAGAAGCTTTGACGCACTGTCACTAAGCCACTCTGTGTTTTTGACTGCTTTTTTTACTCTTAGCTTTTTGTCTTTACCCATTTACACACAAACTCTTTGGATTCTTATCCCTTTTTTACTCTGAGCTATTTGTATCTCTACCTTACACATCAACAATTACAATTTGTTAAAACTTCGACTCGTACTCTTTTTATTTTGTAGATCTATAGTAATAATATCTTAATTGTTTCGAGTACATTGATCTAGTATTATTTTTTATGTATCATAAGTTTAGGAATATAACTCACTTGTCCAAAAAAGCTCAATACTTTAAGTGATTTCGTTTTACAAGTAAATCACTTTACACTATTATGATATTCATTCATATGGGGCACTGCTAAATGGTTTACTAGAATGATCTTGTCAAGCAAAGATTTGGACTAGAATGACCTCTATCTTTGAATATTATTAGAATGACCTTGAAAATTTTTTAATTCCTATGTTAACCTTATTTCATTTGAAGACAAAAAACGTATTTACGAAACTGCCATTAATGAAGCAGAAATTTTTTCCCGCCAAAATTAAATAAGTCTACCATTCTGTTACGGTAGACTTATTAAACGTCTGGTAGACTTATTARGGTGTACYRYATGGTAGADTTATTTATAGTTGTGYTAGATTTATWATATYTGGTAGACTTATTCGTAGTACTGGTAGACTTAYTTTTGGGATCSYTAHACTTATTTGTAGTAGTGGTAGATTTATYAWGTGGTCGGTAGACTTATTACGGTGCAGGCAGTGGTAGACTTGTTTATAGTAGTGGTAGACTTATTGTAAGTAGTGGTAGACTTATTGTAAGTTGTGGTAGACTTATTGAGTAGTTACGGTAGACTTATGCGTTGTAGTGGTAGACTTATTTATAGTTGTGGTAGATTTATTTTTGAGTGATAGACTTATTAGTGGTTGTGGTAGATTTATTGTTGTGATTGGTAGACTTATTGATGGTTCGTGCGATGATAGACTTATTTATAGTTATGGTAGATTTATTTGTCAGTGATAGACTTATTAGTAGTAGTGGTAGACTTATTGATGGTTTGCGCGATGGTAGACTTGTTTATAGTAGTGGTAGATTTATAAGATGTGGTAGACTTATTTGTAGTACTGGTAGACTTAATTTTATGATCGGTAGACTTATTTGTAGTGATGGTAGATTTAATTTTTTGATTGGTAGACTTATTGATGTTTAGCGATAGTAGACTTATTTATAGTAGTGGTAGATTTATAATATCTGATAGACTTATATTTAGTGGTGGTAGACTTAATTATGGTTTCGCCCTATGGTAGACTTGTTTAAAGTTGTGGTAGATTTATTAAATTTGGTAGACTTATTTGTCTTTGTGATAGACTTATTAAATCTTTTCAGAGTTTTACTAGAATGACCTTACTTAATTACAGTTGTGATAGATTTATTTATAATAGTGGTAGATTTATAATATGTGGTAGTGGTAGATTTATAATATGTGGTAGACTTATTTGTAGTAGTGGTAGACTTATAATATTTATTTATAGTAGTGGTAGATTTATTCAATGAAGGACAAAATCGTAATTTACCCTTCATCTTCTCCAACACACCCAAGCTTATGTCAAACCCTAACAATGGCGGCCAACTCATTTTTAGCTCGTTTTTGCTGTGTTTTAATTTGTTTTCAACTGGGTTTAGCCTAAAACTAGTAGATCTAACATCATATATCCATTTTCTAACAAACAATCAAAAGATTTTGAGTTTTTTTTTCAACTTTTGATTTTTAGTTCAATTTTTACCTAAATCTCGGTGCTTCTGCAGCCTCCCCACCTTCGCCGAGCACGATCCGGTGCTTCCGCAGCCTCCGCGACGGTGGTTTCAAACAAATGTTTTATTTATTGGTTTAAAGAATTTCCAACGTATACATGTGGTGGTAGACTTATTGGGTAGTTATGGTAGATTTATAAGTTTTTTTGTTTTTTAGGTTTCAGGATGGCAATTGCGTAAATAAAATAGATTATTAAAGTTTATTTGTCTTTATCGAGTTGTGTCAAATTACTAGATTTGACAAAGTCATTCTAGTAATTACCCTACTTTCCAAAGTCATTTTAGTAATTAACTCAAATATTTATTACTTTTATTTTCGTTTTTTCAATATGGATGACTTATAGATTTTCACACATGTCCCGATAAGGGAAAACTGTCATTTTAATACCGAACTATCCGTTTTGAGTCAAAATAAGTACCAACTTTCTAATAAGTCAAGAAAATAC